ACTGGGAGGGAGAGAGCTGACACAAGTGAGCGGCCTTGTTGAGGAGTGTGTGTGTTTTAAAAGAAGATCGACACTGCAAAAGCAAGTAAAACCGGTGCGACTTGATGGAAATTTGTTTCTGTTCAGCGAGATGAAAAGATAACGCAGCGAAAGCAGCCCGCTTAGCGGTCAGAGGCTGTTTGCAATGACCCGAATGCCGAAGCCATCCTCCACAGTTGTTTGGATTGTTCAAAAGTGAGAGAGGACTTTTCATTCTTTCCTTAGATGTGCCAATTTGTGCAGAGCACACGGGAGCCTCTAGAGCGGTGTCAGACCTTTTCAGACCAAGGGCCGTAACAGGAGTGCTCGTGTGCAGGCGCAGGCAAGTAACCGGAAGAGAAACCGGAAGAGCAGTTTCCCAGCGTGCAACGCGCGGGAGCACGGGAATCCAGAAGAGGGGGTTCCCTGGCACGTCTGCGGGGGCTGAGAAGCTGAGCTTCCAGTTTGCAGTGTGCGCAGGAGCAGGGTTCACTTGGTCTTCTGGTTTCTGGTGTGCATGCATGTGCAAAGACCAGCTGGCATGTGCGCGGCGGAACCTGAAAAGCAACCGGCAACGGCTGGCATACCCGGAGAGATGGCTCTGTGTGCCACTTCCGTCACGCATGCCATATGTCCGCCATCACGGTTCTATAACCTGAGCATGTTAACATGTACTGGAAGTGGCTGGAAGTGGCAGGATGGGGACCCTTTCCCTGTCCTCCTAAATGCACAGGAGAAAAATTGGAACAGAAATTTTCATTAGACTCTATAAAGACTTCATGTTTTAAAAGCCAAAATGGACAAAGTTGTGGAATGTAGAAGAAAGGCAGTTCGGTTGGGTGTCCCAATCTCACTTTTGTGCTTTCCGTGTGCTCCCAAAAATGCCACTGGGATCTTTTGCTCCCTTCAGATTGCTTCCTGCTAATTTGGCTTTAAATGTTCTGCACTTTTTTACTGTTTCCACCTGGTCCCTTGTATTGCAGCCCTGGTTAGAAGGCAGTATTGCAGACTGACTTTGTATTCCCACTGCCAGGAGTTCGATCCTGACCGGCTCAAGGTCGACTCAGCCTTCCATCCTTCCGAAGTGGGTAAAATGAGGACCCAGATTGTTGGGTGCAAGAGCCTGACTCTGTAAACCACTTAAAGAGGGCTGTAAAAGCACTTTGAAGCAGTCTATAAGTGCTATTGTCCTTCCCTCCCTCCCTCCCTCTTTTCTTCCTTCCTTCCTGTTAGAATGCAGTATTGCATGTTAATTCTGCCAACTGCAATAGGTCGGTCCTGACTGGCTCAAGGTTGACTCAGCCTTCTATCCTTCCGAGGTGAGTAAAACGTAAAACGAGGGCTCCGATTGTTGGGATGGGGTGGGGAAAGAGCCTGACTTGTAAACCACTTAAAGTGGGCTGGAAAGCACTGTGAAGAGTTTTGCTATTGCTTTTCCTTCTTCCCTCCCTCCCTCCCTCCAGTTAAAATGCAGCATTGCAGGCTAACTGCCCACTGCCAAGGTGGGCAGTTAGATCCTCCTTCGATCCTCCTTCCATCCTTCCAAGGTGGGTCAAATGAGGACCCAAATTCTTGGGGGCAAGAGGCTGACTGCAAATGCCCTGTGAAGCGGTATATAAGTGCTATTGCTTAGTGCCATTTCTATTTGGATCTTGAAGTGGGTAATGGTAAAATACCGCGTTTGCTTTCTTCCCCTTTTCTGGCTCAAGGCTGGCAAGCAATAAAGGCAGCACCTCCATGTGCCAAGGGCAGCTTGATTCATCTTGATTCATCTTCAGAATAAACTGGTGGCCCCGATCTGCCTTCTTTTTCCATAGTGGGACTTGATCAAAACTAATTTCCACATAATCTGCCTTTGATCCTTTTTAGACCTAGCGCATTGTTCACGAAGCACTGTTGATTCACCCCGTCGGTAAAAATCTCCTTTTTCTACCCAAAATAAAACAGCGGCGTAAATGGCCTCTTGGCAAATAATTTGAAGTGCAGCTTGTAAAGGAAGGAACGATCACAGAATTAGAGAGCCTTCATCAGGGAAGGACCAACCCAATTTGGCCGGTGTTTGTTTGATCGTTAGCTGACCGCTTGCAAAGGCTACTGTCCTTGCATTGACATGTTTCTATTTTTTAAGAAAAATAATATCCACCTTGTGGTGCATTTACTCTTGTCGCTCTGCCTGGAGTCTCTTTTTTTCTTAAAAGCTGAATGCGCAATAAAGGATTAGAATAGCAGCGGGGGGGAGGGGATTGTCCTGTTCCAGAGCCAAGATTCGGTGAAATGAAGTTGGCCAAACCCAAGAATTTTACATCCTTACCTGAAGATGGTTTAGTTTAAAAAAAAGAAAAGAAAGGCCCTTCCAAAGTTTGGCAATGATGCAAGAACACCAATACACACACCACCAAGGGTATAAGTATTATCAGTGGTGAAATTCAAATTTTTTACTACCGGTTCTTTGGGCGTGGCTTGGTGGGCGTGGCAGGGGAAGGATACTGCAAAATCTCCATTTCCGCCCCCCCTCCCAAGTCCATGGGAAAGATACTGCAAAATCCCCATTCCCTCCCCACTCCAGGGGAAGGATACTGTAAAATCTCCATTCTCTCCCCACTCGGGCCAGCCAGTGGTGGTATTTGCCGGTTCTCTGAACTACTCAAAATTTCTGCTGCCGGTTCTCCAGAACCTGCTGAATTTCACCCCTGACTATTATAATAGT